TTTTTTTTTTTTTTTTTTTTTTTTTTTTTTTTTCGTACGCGAGTAAGCTCCTCGATTCGAACGACTAATTTATTTTTACTCTTAACGCATGTCCAGCTACCATTTGAGATTCACGCGAACATAATAGATGCGATGATGGCGATGACGATGCCGTATTATCATTGTTATCACTGTAAAATCACCGCTATCAATTGTCACAATCCATGTCGTTGGTGACACACGACGTAGACTTCCTCACGATGTATCTTATCGTTATCATCTCATCGATAGCCCTCACGCTACTTAAGCACTTTATGTCGTTAACGATACCACTTGTTTACGTATTATTATTATCATTGTTAGTACTATTATTATAATTATTTTAAACTCTTGACAAAGTTGAAGCAACACGAGCGAAACACAAGGCAAGTCAAGATATTTTACTTCTGTGCCGAGGTATTATTATTTATTACGAGCACATGCCGCATTTCTCGAGAGCAATTATTTTTACTTTCAAACGCGGTTTATATATATACATGTATAAAGAAAAAGTATACGTACGCTATTTTATACTGGCCAATGCATCGAGCAGCTAACCGTTTTACTATTACGTAGTTTTTTTTTTATCGTCACATTCTTCTACTCTTATCAAATGACGTATCCTTTACTTAACCGTCATGAAAAAAAAAAGAAGAAAGAGAGGGGGAGAGCGGTCTCTCACGGTAGATGGACATATACTATTTTTTCTCTTTTTTTTATAGTAACTTAACGTTCGCAATCTTTTTGTAACCTTTTGGTAACTTGGTTGAGGATTGATTTGATATACGTGTATATAGACTGTAGTTGTTTCTAACGATCTAATGGATTATTAACTTTTGAAATTCGATCGAAGAGGAATGCGAGGGAGTTTTGGATGTATGATAGTGATGCTGAATTACGATATGCGTGTGTGTGCGTGTGTGTCTACGCGTGATTCACAACAACGTGCATGCTCGGAATTGATCATAAAATTGCATTTCCGTGCATTACGATGAACACAAAATTCCAGCGGCTGTTGGTATGAAACAGTAAGAATTGCAGGAAGAACAACTATGTGTGTTTTTCTCAGATTCACTGTGCGATGTATGTGCATGCGTATGTGAGTGTGTGTGTGTGTGTGTGTGTAAGCGTATGTATTCAGAGAGATGTATAAGCTATTTAATACTCGTTGGTTGGTTAACGCTCAGAGACCTTATTGTTCGAACGAACAATACAAAGAAAAAAAAGTGGCTCAAGGGAGAGAAAAAGAGAAATCGTTTATTATGTAGTTTTCTTTTTCGCGGAAAGAGATGTTTCCCCACACACACACACACACACACACACATACACACACATACACACATCCATGTCTCTCGTCGAAAATTTTTTTTCCTTTCGTAATAAAACAGCTAAAATTACCGTTACCTCCACGCGTTTTCTTTCGGTGTCTTCTCTGCGCACGCAATGGTGAGTAAAAACCTATCTTAGAACTACTTTCGTACTTAATGGATCATTAAGATCACGCGATTCTGACTAACCGTGTCAGCCTTATACAAACGCGCAAAACGTCCAGTCGTGTAAGGAAGGATACTCGAAGTGATCACGTTTTAGCTTTTTACAGCGCATGAATAAGAGTTGAAACGGATGCTTTTTGCAATGAGATGGCTGATGTATCACTATGCATGATACAAATAACGTACAGCTCACAGAGTTTGGTTTATAAACGATATAGAACATTGTACGAAAATTACACTATTATTGCTATACATTACCTTTGGTCGAGACGATTTCCAACGCATGAACGATCGCACGATTGTAATCATGTTATCGATCAGATAAACGCCTTTATTATTCGACCCCCACAATTAACTGCCCTCACCGTTTTTGGTTTCTTTGCGGCCTTTTAATCTCTTTTATACATACTGCCTATTTCTCCGGGAAGTAGTATCTTCGTATATTCTTGAGCGATAACAACACCGGTATCATCGCCGGCAAGAACAGAGGAATGTACACAGCGTACCTGTATTAATCATAAAATTATTATATCTGCAATGTAATAAAGAGAGAAAGATAGAGAAAGAAAAAATAATAGTGCATACTCAACAATTCGTGAATCGAAACGAGAATCGTTCTTAAAACTCGTTACTCACTTCTGATCTTCCGGGAAGTAAAGGAGCGCCAACAGCGTCGGATCAGAGAAAGCTGCTTCAGCGGTGACGAAGGCCTCTTTGCTGAGAAGGAAGCTGCGCTCGAGGTCGCCGCGTTCTAGACACTCGGCGGACCTGTGCACCAACTCGAGCGCGGTCTTGATCCTGTTCCCAACCACGTCAGTGATGACGATATTGCTGATCTCCTTAAGGAGTTGTGCCAACGACTGTAGGGTCAATTTCGCCGAGGTCAATTGTTCGACAGTGCGAAATCTTAACAGGGAATCGATCTCCCAGTCGCGCGATTTCAACCCCACCAATGGCACCGCCGTCACTCCGCTGATGGGCTTCTGTAATCATTCACGTATCATTCGTACACATTAGTCCTTTACATTAGTACTGAGATGAGAAAGTTGAAATCATGCTCCGTACAGCGTAAAATTAAGCTATCTTGTCGCAATTAAGATAAATGAGGAAAATTCTAAGCTATTTGATGCAAAGTCGTGATTATTTCGAGTACACAAAGGTTGTTACCGTTTCTGGGATGCCCAGCAATAGTCTCAGTTGTGCCAGGAACGTGCCTACCACCGCGGTATCCTCGGGAACGATGGTAACGATTTCATCCTCTCGTGCACTTTCGCAAGCCTCCGACGGTGGATTGATCAAAACCACACCACCCCATCTGTAATTACACGAATGCCATGATAATAATACCTTAAAGGAAGTTCTAAATGCGAATTTTTTCAAGAAACTGGTTCATATGTCGAAGCTGAATTCGACACAAGCATGTATCAACCAATACGAAAGATTTATTCATTCGCGTAAGCGATCCTGCATCTAAAGCAAAATTAACATGAAACATGAAACCTAACGATTGAAAGTAGAAAATAACCTTGGCGACAGAAAGGCCTCTACGTTACTGTCCGTCCGCGACCTGTGCCCGCTGCGTGTGTAGATGTGCAGGGGCGCGCTGTCGCACGGTACTGTGTAGACGACGAAGCTTATACAAGGATGGAGGCTAACCTGCGATGCTAAAATTCAGTCAGGCGAGAAATGACACTTGGCATGTATGTTTCTTTTTAATGCGCGTTGGCGTCGCGAACGTTGTACCTAATTTTTTCTCCAACGGCGTCACAAGCTGCGGCAGGACACTTTCGCGCAGAGCAAAGTGCCGGCGACTCGGACTGCTGTCGGGCACCCGTCGAGGATTCACATCCAACGGCAGCAAGTATAGCCACTGTGACTTCACCGAGAAGTTACTAACGATGGAAAGATCGTCCAGGAACGGTCGTATGTATTCTGCGACAAGAAATGATATTCTAATCTCGAATTTTGATACTTGAGGACGTAACTTTTGTTATTAATAATTAAGTGTAAATATACCTTCGGCTACCATCTTGAGGTCCCAAACGACCTTCAATTTGTCGGGATCAGGATTCACTAGAGTGATCAGGATGTCGTACGCTGGGCTAGCCGGGAATCGTCTCCTATTCTCCTCGTCTAAACTGTACATAGTGGGCTCGGCAAGCGCGTTCCTCGTCAGTGCCAATGATTTGTCGTGTAGAATCCATTCCGATAACACTTGCACCAAATTGCTAGCATCTAGCAAACATTACAGTATTTTATCTATACATTTGTATATTATTGCAGTATAAATCGGAATATCGTGGAGGAATTTAAGTTGCATGATTCTCATGTGATTCATATATGGAACTTAATAATAAGTCATAATGTGAGAAGCTTCATGCCTTATTAAGTTTCATATGACTCACATGAAAATCACAATACGTAGCGATTTCTAAATCGTTTTAATGAACATATCGTTGCAACACTCTAATAGGACCATTGACTCCGACGCAGATCAACTGGAGCAATTGATCGGCCGACGGACTCGAGTAATTATGGTCATTCAAATCTGTATCTTCGAAGTTTTCAAGCAGTTCAATCACGAGTTGGCTCAATATAATTCGAAACTAAAGCAAGTTCCAGCGAGTCTTGAAGAATCATGGAAGTTTCGTATATCTGGGAATCTTGAGATACATCCGGAAAATTGAGTTTTTGGTTTCAAATAATTTTTGGAACAAATCAAGACTTTCATCGTATGTTCGAGGTGATGTGTCTCGAGCGTATAATTAGAATGATAGTAATTTGTTTTGACAATTGACTTACTGGTTTCAGTGGAGAAATATAACGTTCTTTTGGAGCCGACTAAAACAGCATCATTCAGATTTGTCGCCTCCAACAACAACAGACCGCCCACATTCAGCTCGAAGGTCGAGGCTACCTTCTCGAGTTCATGATACGTGAAAGCAGACGCTAACAGGTTATTAGATATCACCTGATACTCCACGTCCAACTGGTATATCTCTGAAAAACGCAAATTTTAATCATGTGTATCTCTTTCTTTGCTCCCATCTTCTTTCCGCTAATTTAACGATAGGATCTATTGACGTTGCTTGACGTCATAATTCGAGATGGTTGCCGTGGTTGGTTACCCATTTTTTAATAATTTTTAATTTACACGCCTGAAATAGGTCAGAGAGGTCCTTCTCTCACTTCGTTACTTCTGTCAGCCGCAATGTATTCGGGTCAATGTCAACTAAACTCGGCACCATAAACATACGAATTTCCTTATGTTAAGAGATGCGCGACCGCGCATAACAATATGACATTGCGAATACAAACGACGACGCCTCGGCCACGAGAGCTCTCGTTCCCGTGAATAATTTACGTCGCATATCACCACATCCTTTATCTCGCGCATCAATAATGAGCTCTCTCTCTCTCCGCGTTTTGTCATGACGCTCACCAGCGTTCGCGAAGGCTCGCTTGATTTCACGGGCGAGCAACTCGGCGCGATCGCGCGAGAGCGCCGCGACAGTGATCTTCGTGTTGATCTTGATGTCTAATTGCGACAGCTCGTCGATCCTGGTGTAGGGAAGCGCCACACGAGGCACCGCCGTAGTGTGCCACCAAAGGGGCAGGCCGACTCCTAGCAGTAGCACCGCGAACGACACGCTTGCGTAAACTCTGTATTTCTCTGCAACAGAGACATGCAACCGCTATATTATTGACTTATTTATGCAATGCAGACTCGATACGAAGCGAATACACAACAAACTTATTTGTTTAATCAACGGGGGAAATTTCTCCTCGCGGACAAAAGAGCGTGATGACAGCATGGTGATCTAAATTTAAGGCCTTCTTGTCACTGCCAAAAATTTTCGCCAATTTCTGTCGTTAAAACAACGGGCATAGTATTGTGAAGAGCCTATTTTCATGAGAAAAAACCGTTTTATAAAATGTGACAGAAATTTATTCTTCTTGCAAACTACTCTCTTAAAATAAATCAGTCAAACATCACTGAAAACAGTGATATACACTGATTGCAGTTATAAGCATAGCACTGAAAGTGCTCAGTGCTATACTTATAACTAATACCAGTGACTATTCACTGATTCACTTTAAGAGAGTAATAGTATAGTATTTGAAATATGATAAAACATATAAATAGCATAAATTTTTTATATCAAATATCTGACAGTTCTAGAAATTAGAGCGAATCAAAAGAACTGTCGTGTGAGTAAAATCGTACTTATACTAAAGGTTCATATCCTCAACAGTAAATTAGTACTAGACAAGTGAATTTATAGTTTAAGAATACCTATAGTAAAATAATATATCACTTTTTCCGCAATTCATATACTTCTTTCCCCCTCACTATCTTAATTGTTTCAAATTTGGCCAGTGATTATAAGGAAAACATTATTTTCCATATGTAATGTATGATGTATATAAAATCTTAGATCGATATCTTGAGTAGATTTCAAATGTCGATTTTTGTCCATAAGAACGGATAGTGCACAACACTGTGCGGCGGCGGCCACCTTTTTTCACGTACCCGTAACCTTCGGGTTAAAATTGAACCGGGTCCAATTTGGTCGTTCGTATTCCGCCACGCGTGGACGTGACGAAACAACGTCAGTTCAATGTTAAGCCCCGCGATCGTGCGACATTGTGGCTGCGATTACCCAAGTACTGATATTGACCGAGGTTCACGAACCACAGGTGCGCGACTCGCGCACCTCATCGTCGATCGTTGATTTCCGCATCCCAGTGAATTTCACGTCGAGCTGGTGAACGCGCGCGTTAAATCTCCGCGAAGAGATCTCCGCGAGAAAACGGCGTAACAATGCCGACGATGCCGACGACGATACCAAATTATGTAACAATTATGATGTGCGCTAAATAACGATAATGCGCGCGAAGAGCGCGGTTTTTCCGCAACCGCCGGAAATATTCCCGAAGACGACGTGGAGAATTGGCGAGAAAGAGAGAGAGCGGAGTAGACGTTGAAAAACAAATGTCTACATAAATCCGCTTTATAAAGCGTGTGGCGCACACAGAAACGTAAGCAGTAAAATCTCAGCGCTAAGCAAATCGATCAACCACAGCCGATAATTCTCTTCATGGTCCAAAATTATCGGTTGTTATTCATCAAATTTTTTTTACTGCTTACTTTTTTCTGCGTGCCATTCGTTTAAGTATCACGTGGAGCCGAGCGCGAGATTTGAAGGAGAAAATAAGCGAACTATTAATAATTATCGTGCGCTGGGCTCTCCTTTTTTGATTTTCAATCCGTGACAAATTCGGAGTGACAAATGCACGAACGATAGCGCGCGCCATTGATCGATGACTGTGCCTGTGTGTCAGTGAAAACAGATGATCGATCATGCCGTGTGGCACCGATGACGCGCGCCATGTGCGAACTATCAAATCGAAAAGCAACAGATCCCGTGTCACGGCTGTCCCGTATTGGCGAGCCTACTCATCGTTATGTATCAGCGAGATCGTAAGTACAGTTTTAGATTATGATAAGCGAGAGTACGCGCGGCTGCGACGGAGCTTTATCTGTCACTTGACGGATCATCGATCGTAAGCGAGAACGATAAGTTGCCCGTCGCTCGGCCATCGTCGAAAGTGCGTCAATCGCGAGCTAAGTGTAAATAAATAAAGCGGAACGAATTAGATGAGCGAAAATGGGATCCCGCCCGTATCCTCAGTATTCACTCATGCGCTCGGGATCTTTGCGTGTAAAACTTGCCGTAAAAATACACTGTAAAACTGATGTGTTAAATTTAATATTTCAAGTCTCAAATCATCCATTTATGTGTAAATTTAACACAAAACAAATGTGATAAAAAGTAAGACACATAATATATAAAAAATTAACACAAGAATTTAACATTTAAATACCGTCACAGTTTGTGTTAAATTGACATATATATAATGTTAAATTAACTAAAATAAAACGTTACTTTAACATTTTAAAGAAGTATTAATCTATGGTTTTGATGAAATGAAAATGTTTAATTGACATAATCTATGTCTGACATATTAAATATGTCAATTTAAGACAACTTGTGATTCTTAACGATATTTAAGTGTTAAACGGTATTAAGTGTTAATTTTTTCCATATTACTTCCGTGTGTTACTTTTTAACACATTTGTTTTGTGTTAAATTTACACATAAATGTGAGTGGATGATTTGGGACACATGAAATAGGTTAAATTTAATACATCAGTTTTTGTAGTGTAACCTTAGAAAAATTAAGCTGAAGAATTAATTGGTTTAATTAGATGAAGTAAATATAGTTGTGATAAATTTGTGAGCAAGCGTAACTAAGATTCGACCGGTTGAAATTCCATCACAACAATTTTATTACAGTAAACATTACTATAAAATTTTTTAATGATAGACGAGATCAACATTCTCTACAGCAATTGTCTATCTTTGTATTTCATATGTGCTATTTATATTTTAGGAATTGAAATGTGCTGAATCAAAGAATTAATCTAATAAATTGATTTAATAAAATATAAGTAGCACATTTATTAATGTGCTATTTGTATTTTGAGAAAGAAAATGTATTATCAACAATTTTATACGTTTCCAGCGAAATTTAATCAGTTCCTCAGTAAGACAGACTTTACTGGCAGTCTATTCTAACACCACTAGGAATATAGTAAAAAACTAAGAAAAATTTATACGAAAATAATGTATGATATTCTCTCTGTGTGATTAGTCGCTCTGAATCCTGATTACACAGTCATTTTTATTATCATCTGGATAAAACAATTTTAAAGTAATATCCCGATCGGTTCTGCTTAACTTTATGTCTGCGTTTACGGCAGTTCCTTGCATAAAAGTCCTTAGAGATGCGTAATAGCCGTATGCGAATGTTACATCGCGGCGAATTCGCGCGGGTCAAACGACCTGACACGCGTTGCATTCAAATGTATTTAACAGATCAATTAATTCGCTCTGTTCTGATTACGTAAACGTGCTTGTTCTCCGAGAAACGCATGCTGCAATGGAAGATGATATGTAAAGTATGCGAAACGTTTTTTCCGTAAAAAACGAACGCGCATTTGCGTTCATAATACACGTTACAATGGACGAAATGATCATCTTGATTTCATCGGTGATTATACGCGGTTTCCCGTGACCAGTCGTGTGTCATAATTATTACAGAGGTGAAGGAACGAGGGAAAACAACTTGTGAGAAGTTCGATGTGTGTCGGAAGAATTGCGATTTCGGTGATTTTGATACTGATTACTAGAGTACTCATATTAATTGCTTTAATTACACAGTAATTACGAGAGGCTTACATGACCGAATTATGCGCGAGTAGTGTAAACATCACGCGAGCTGCACAAGGCTAATTTAAACGTCGCAATTTTTCGGCGATATTGCAAACGATGATGACATAGAAGTGTCAATTACATAATTGCGAAACAGACAGGAGATTTCGTCGAATCGCTGAAGCTCTAAAATTGGACTGAAGCAGACTGAATGTGACTCGACTAGGGAACTTTTAATTTATAAAATATATATATATATATATATATATATATATATATATATATATATTCGATATACGTATAGCATATATATTTTACGTTGAAAGTTTAAATATTCGCCACTTAAAGACCAAAACGATAAAAATGTCTAGGATTAGATACGTGCATTCGGGCACTGACACTTTCATCTTAATTTTCAACTTCAATCTTTCGCCTGCTCGTACGTAGCACGTTATGGCACGGCAATTGCTGAATTTCCGGAGTTATGGCTATTTCAAGATCATCGCGGTGGCTACGGCGACTTATCTCGTATTATCGACGTTTATTTGCACGCTAGTCTGTTGTCGGATTTAAAGCTAAGCTGAAGGATCAATCAAGATATTACTTTAATATTGCTCTGTCTAGGTAATAATAAAAGTGCTCAGTATAATTAATTTCAAAACGACCAATTGAACAGATTATGGATTATTTTCGTATGAATTCTTTAATTTAATAATTACGTTAAAGGAATATTTTGACATCTCGAACTAATGACGTAAGCAGCTAAATTGCACAACGGAAATACAAAAGATAAAATGACGATTATACACGGAAATATACGTACTGCGTTCTTTTCCGCGCTTCTCTCTTTTACATCGAGATCTCTTATCGTTTCTCGCTATTTTTTTCTCTTTATTCAATTGGACACGTACCGATAAATAAAATTGTTAATAAATTAAGCGCTCAAAAAATGTTTTGCTGATGCAGGTAGAATTTTAAATATGACAGTTAAAATTTATGGCTGTTTTTTGTATCCGCTAGAAAATTGTCTGTGGCAGATAGAATTTATAGCAGTAGAGAATTTTAGTAATATCTGTAAACAAATTTAAATAACTATAAGGATTGTGCATCCATTTATTTCACGTCGCTAGTCTTTTTTGTTTACCACAGTCACTTTTATAAGAAAGTGTAACTGGCCTCAATCTAGACGCCACAGAGAGAGAAAGAGAGAGAGAGAGAGAGAGAGAGAGAGAGAGATTTTCTTGCTAAATTTTACAAATGGTTCAGATAGGAATTCTCTGTCATTTGTATTGATTAAATGCAAAACATACGCGATATCGCAGTGTTTGTTAGGCATTTTGACTAAGTTCTTGTATCCAGATAATTTTCGCTATTTGTCACTGCAAGACCATTC